GTAGGAGGGCATGTGTCAGCCTCAACAGGTTAGGGATGGAATCAAAATATCACTTAATTCATTGATACCAAACACAAAGGCCAAGGTCCATATTGTGACTGGCAACACTCCCCAGATCCCTGAGCCAGATTAAAATGTGATGGGGAAATATTTAACAAAGTTCTTAAAAATACAGTAGAACATAGGTAATGTTAATACGCAATGTGCTACCCACAGAGATCCTTATGTATAGTTAAGTGGCACCTGTTTCTATCTGAGTTAGACACCACTGACTTAAATAACCTGAAATGTTGCTCCCCCACACCTTCCTTCAGGACCCAGACAGCCCAGGTTCTACTGTCTCCTTGATGCCTTCCCTGAATGTTACAGTTCTCTTTGCTCTCCCCCTACTCTGACCTCCTACAGTACTCATCAATAGCCCCTCATCCAATCCACCCTATTCTAACAAGCAGTTAGTAAGCACCCACAATTGGCAAGGCACTTTGCTAGGCACTTCAGATACAAAAAAAATAAAATGAAATAAAACTAGTTCCTGCCTTCCAGAATCTTATATTCTGTTTTTCCTGAAGAGTTTTCTTTTTAAAAAAAAGCATTGATATCATGAGATCATTGTTTTTATATCACTTTCATTTACAAATACAGTCCTCCCCTCTCTTCTACCCAGAGAGCCACTCCTCCAACAAAGAATAGAAAAAGGGGGGGGGGGGGAAGTGGTTCAGCAAAACTAACCAATATATCCGCCGTCTGACAATATAGGCAGTGTCCTGAACCCTTGAATGAATGGATGTAAAAAGCATTTATTAAATTCCCCACCTCTGCAAAGAAGGGAGAGAGATGCATTTTTTTCATCTCTTCATCAGAGCCAAACTTGGTCAGTAAAATTAGTGTTCAGTTTTGTCTTTTTTTGCTCTTTCCATTTACAATGTTGTAATCATTTTTTCCTGTAGTGTATATTTTTTCCCAGTCTTGCTTAGTTCTCTTTTGCATCTCTTCTTTCCACATTTATCTGTATTCTTCACATTCAGTGTTTCTTATAAGGCAGTAATATTCCATTATTCTCATGTCCTACAAATTATTTAGCCATTCCCCAATGGATGGTTATCTACTTTTTTCCCCCAGTTTTTTCCTACTACAAGTTGTGGTATATGAATGTAATGGAATACTCTTGTGCTATAAGAAATGATGAGCAAGTTGATTTCAGAAAAACCTAGAATGACTTACGTGAACTGATGTAGAGTGAAATGAGCAGAACCAGGAGAACTTTGTAACAGCAATATTGTTTGATGATCAACTGTGAATGACTTAGCTATTCTCAGCAATACAATGATCCAAGACAATTTCAAAGAACTCATGATGAAAAATGCTATCCACATCCAGAGAAAGAACTGATAGAGTCTGAATGCAGATCAAGGCATACTATTTTTCACTTTCTTTTTTTGTGGGGGTTTTTTTTTGGTCTTTGTTTTCTTTCACAACATGACTAATATGGAAATATGTTTTGCATGATTGCATGTATATATCCTATATCAAATTGCTTACCGTCTCAGGGAAGGGGGAGGGGAGGGGAAGAGGAAGGAAGAGAATTTGGAACTCAAAATTTTTTTAAATTAATATTAAAAATTGTTTTTCCATGTTATTGGGAAAAAATTAAATCTTATTCAAAATAAAAGAGACACACCATGTAAATGGCTAAGTACATACATATGTTTACATATATGCTTATTTGTGTAAGGAGGAGGTGAGAGCAGGAACTGACAACTAAGGAAATCAGGAAAGGCTTCCTATAAGATAGGGCCTGTGTACTGAGCCTTGAAGGAAGCTGGAGATTCTAAGAGACATCAGTTAACAGGGAAACTACTCTCGAAATGAGGCACAGGAGTGTAGGTGGAATGCTGAGATTGACTAACAAGTAGGACAGTGGGGCTGGAATTTAAGAGAAGGTGAAGAGGAACAATATTCTAAAAGCCTGGTTACTGTAGTCAGCTTGTTAAGGGCTTTTAAATGCCAAGCCAAAGATTACATACGTAAAAGCAATAAGAAGTCATTGAAATTTCTTGGATAGATGAGATGGTCTGAGTTATGCTTTAGGAAGATTATTTTTTTCTTTTCTTTTTTTTAATTTTTTTTTCATATGCTTTTGAGTTGAAAATTTTTTCTCCCTTTTTCTCCACCCCCCTCCCCAAGACAGCACACAATCTGACATAGGCTTTACATTTACATACCCATTAAACATATTTTCACATTAGTGAAGTTGTAAGTAAAAATTAAAACCAATAGGAGGAACCATCAGAAAGATAAAACAAAACTCAACTGAAGGTAAAAATAAGTGAGAGCGATTCGACTTCCATAGTTCTTTCTTTGGATGTGGACAGCATTTTCCATCCCGAGGCCTCTGGAGATGTCTTAGATCCACGTAATGCTGAGAAGGGTTCAGTTTAACATTCTTAGTCATTGCATAATGTGGCTGCTATTGTATACAAAGTCCTCTTGGTTCTGCTCACTTCACTCAGCATCAGACCATATAAGTCTTCCCAGGTTTTTCTGAAGTCAGCCTGTTCATCATTTCTTATAGAACAATAGTATTCCATTCCATTCATATACCACAACTTGCTCAGCCATTCCCCAATTGATGGGCATCCTCTCAATTTCCAATTCTTTGCCACCACAAAAAGAGCTGCTATGAATATTTTTGTACATGTGGGTCCTTTTCCCATTTGTTTGATCTCTCTCGGATATAGCCCTAGAAGTGCTATTGCTGGATCAAAGGGTATGCACATTTTTGTAGCCCTTTGGGCATAGTTAGGAAGATTATTTATAAATCATGCAATCACAAGTACAGAGAATGAATACTGAGTCCAGTCTTAGGGACATTTCTCCCTGGTTCCTTCTCTTGATGGAAACTTGTGCCAGTTCCCTGGATCCACTCTTTACCTGGGTCAAGGTCACCCAGTTCTGCTAAGATTCCTTTCCAAGAGTCTTCTTTCTTCTCCAGTTCTTAGCTCTCTCTCTGTCTCTCTCTTTCTCTCTGTCTCTCTGTCTGTCTCTGTCTCTCTGTTTCCCCCGCCCCCACCTCTCTGTCTCCCTTTTCTTTTCTTCAGGTGAAGAGAATCACAAAATGTTAATGACCTCTCCACTTCTTCCTTCTACCTCCTGGTTGTCCAGAGATCTGCAATGTTCTTCACCATAGGAGTCGTTCTATCCTTTCTGCCAACTCAAGACTTGTTGGTGGCAGAGGCAGAGAGTATCAACTGTTGCAGTCAAGAAGATCCAGCTTAAAGTACCATCATTGATAGGTACATCCTAGCAGTGACCCGTGGGCAAGAGGCTTAACCCTTCCCTGTCTCCCCAGGCAACTCAATATATTGCAGAGAAGTTGCTGGGTCTGCTTTAGGAGAGGGAATTTCCCAAGACAGAGTTCCTTGTGCCAATTAAATCACAGATCCACCCTTTCCTCTTCCCCCCAACCCCCCCCAAAATCTTCCATGGCTCCCTATTACTTATCAGGTAGTAATATTCCAAGTCTTCTGACTGGCATTCAAGACCCCCCACAATCTGCCACCACCCTACCTTTTCAGTCTTCTTCCATATGTCACCCTCACCACTCCACTCCCAACCCCCACTACATTAAGTTGTTTATCCTTCATTTTTTGAGGACCAATGACATCACAGGTGATGTCAACTTGCTCGTGAATTGGATTTCAGTGAGGCAGAGTTGCACAAAGTAATCATCCTCACTCTGTCTTCCTGAGCCATCAAAGTCCAGTGGCAAGACCAAGGTCAGGACCGCTGGCGATGGTTCAGGATGCAATGGATGACCTTGGCTTCTTTGATGTCTGACCAAGCTCTAAACACCCCACAGCACCTGTTTCAGCTGCCTTGATGGCCGTTGAAATAAATTGTTCTCATCTGCCCATTCTACTAGGGAAAGTCTTCATATGCTTGAGGTAGATATCCCCCTTACTCACGGAGGGGTTTGAGGCCTGTCCGTTATCCTCAACCTAGTTTAGCCTATCTGCCAAGATGGTTTCACTGGGGTGTGGCAGCGGTGCATGCCACAGCTTCTTGGAGTTACAGGTGAGAGTTGGGTGACAGGTGGACACTAAAGATGGATGAGGAGCCCTGAAAAGGGTTTGGCAAGCCCTCATAGCAGAGGTGCTAGTCCTCCCTGAGCCCTCCGTACACCCAGCATACACCACCTTGGTGAGGAGGTGACTGAGTACTTAAAGGGATGGAATCCACTGGGTCCTGCACATGTAAGTTTGAATCCCATCCTCACTGAGTTTCTTTAACAAGTCCTTTAGAAAGCCTTCTCTAAGATAGTCTCCTTTTTATACTGTCTATATCTGGTGTTTTCATAGGTATTTGCAAGTTGCTGCCTCCATTAGAAAGTGAACTGCTTGAAAGTAGGGAACTAGGCTTTTTCCTGTACTTGAATCCCCACAGTGCCTGGCACAATCAATCAATCAATCGATAAACATTTATTAATTGTCTACTACACTAAGCAATTAATCAATGCTTATTGCCTTGTAACTGACTGCCCCTCCTCGCATCCTCCACAGTGGTTTATTTATTTTGGTTCTTTTAAATGCATGTATTGTGTAACACTGTTTACACAGTTATCCGTGTGGGTACTATATCTCCCTTCTAGACTATGGGCTCCCTATTAAGGAGATATAGAAGGTATTTAATTGTATTTATTGCCCTGGCATATCCACCCCTAGCAGTGAATGCTGCAAAGCAAAGGTCAATTCAACACATCTCCATCCTTCTGTCTTCCTCTCCCAACCCTCCCAACCTCTTCTTGTCTCCCCCACAATTTTTGTCTTTCTTCCTTGTCTCCTACTCCACTTGTCTCTCCTCTGCTTTAGGGCTAGGGCCTCCCATGGCTCATGGGATTACCATCCAGGACAGATCTCCTGCACTCCTCCCTTCTCCCCAGTCCTCAGACATCCCAAACCCTTCTTGACCTCTGCTTTTCTGTCCTCCTCAGAAGCTCCAGGATGACATCTAAGCATCTGCTCCTTCTCTTCCTTCTGGCCTGCCTGTGGTTCCTGGCTGTCTACTGCCACCTGGCTGAGGAAGAGAAATGGAGTAAGGACAAGGGTCTGGGGAGAAACTCTACCATGAACCTGCCTGACTCTCCTTCAGTCTCCATCGTGGGTGAGTAGCCTGGCCAGCCACCAGAGGGAGCAGGGAGCAATTTGTCTGAGTGGGCAGGGCATGCCGGTGAACTCTTTTTCCTACTCCCTTACTCAGAAGGCTTGCATTTATTTCATTCCCCCATCCTCTGAGGTTTCCAGTGCCCTGCTTCAAATGCAGCTGCCTCTCTGAAGTTCTGACCCTCGCTGTTCTGGATAGCAGTGGTCACACCTATTCATCTATGGATTTGGAGCCACAGGACCCGAGTTCAAATACCTGTGTGATCTTGAGAAAATCACTTCTGAAATCCACTCTCTGCATTTTAGAATTCTTTATTAAAATGAGGAGGGGGGAATTAAATGATCTCTTAAGTCCCTTCCAGAGCTAAAAATCCTATGGCCCGTTCTACTAAATGGCTACCTCCCCTGCCTTTCCTTCAGACCCTTATCAGCCTTAAGTCCCCAACAGAGCCACAGATCCGTACTAATCCACAGAGCCATACTAATCAAATCTGGGGGAAAGCAGATGAATCTAATTTCCTTCTATAGCCAATGTTCAGTATATGAGAGCTGGGCTTTAGTGAGGCCTTTGATTCTACCTGAAAAACAGGGTCTAGCCCGGTGGTATTTCAGTAAGGTCTATGAACTTGAATGGGGGTGGAGGTGGGGAAAATGCAACTTTATTTCAATCCAATTGGCTTTCTTTGTAATCCTGTGTATTTTATTCTATGTATTGAAAAACATTATGCTGGGAAAGGGTTTAACTACCGAAGGGGTCCAGGACATAAAAAAAGTTAAGAGCTCTTGGTCTACACAGTGCTGGGAGTTGAGAGATTAAGGGAGGCGTTCCCTAAAAACAGTTCTGAGTGTTCCACAAACTTCTTTGTCTCAATTGTTCCCAGAACCCAAAGTGAGGGAGGGAGCAATTGAAGAAATTTCCCCTGGGAGGCGGAGGAGGAGTACCACAAGCAGGCTGGAATCGAAGTTGTTCGGTCTAGCCTTGAATGGAATGTGATGAAAACCCCTCATAAAATCTAAACTCAAAATACAGGCCTTTCGCCCAACTGTGTGAACAAATGGTTGTATTGAGTCTGCAGGGGACCCTGGTGGAAGGGGATTTGCAGAATTCAAACATCTCTATTTGTTTGTCACTGTCTCTGGGAAGATTTACCTTCAAGGCTTGTAACTATGGGATAAGGGAAGGGGGTGGGGAGGTGAACTGTTGGGGAGAGACCTATAGAAACCTGCTGTATCTATGTTCGGCGAGCTCTGACACTGAGAGGTTTTTCAGTGCGGGTCGCCCTTTCTCGCGAGACCTTCATAAAAATTCCTTTCTGCTTCTACCTGGAGAAACCTCTGAATTTATTGGAAATAAGGATAGCTGTCCCACACAGCCTGTTAGGTTTTCTCTGGCTTTCTCCTCCTCGTTTGTGATGCATGTACCCCAATCCGTGGCTCTTGCTCTTTAGGGCCCCTGGCATTGAAATGGTAATGCAAAATGTCTCCCCGCCCCAGCCTCCAGCAGGCCACCTTCCCAGAGGCCTCCCTCTTCCCAATTCAGCCCCTGTCTGTCAGACATATCTTCTATTCTTTATGTTTCTTTTGAAGCACTGAACAAAAAATCCAAGAAGATCATCAGGAAAGAGATAGAAACCAAGAAATCTTCTGAGGTAGGTGGGACTTCGACAGAGGTGAAAGAGGGATGGAAGGGGGAGAGGTGGGAGTGGGAGAGGATGTCCATCCATCCCTGCTTCAGAATAGCAACATGATGGACTGACTTGTGATAGTCTGTATTTACAACACACTTTATGCATAGTACTTCCTCTGATCCCCACAATAGTCTGGTGAAGCAGGGGAAGGGGCAAGTTTGGTGGGAATAGGAGAGAGAGACAGGGATTACTACCACCATTTTTCAGATACAAAACTGAGGCTTAGAAAGACTGACTTGCCTAAAATCATGCCATTAACCATTGGATATGAGACTCATATTCTCAGGTTTTATGACTCACTCTGTCCAGAATTCTTGTGATATTAGGGTCAAATAATAATATAGCTCTCTACCCCCAGCTCAAGAAACATGTCACTGCTTTAAAGGTGAAAAGGATCTTATGGGTTGAGAGAAATGACTATATCTTTCTTATATTAATAACCAACTTTATTTTCCCAATTTTTAAAAATATTTTTATTTAAGGTTTTGAGTTCCAAATTCGATCCCTCCCTACCCTCCCTCCTCCCGGAGGGAGATGGTAAGCAATCAGATATAGGTTATACATGTGCAATTATGTAAAACATTTCCATATTAGTCAGTTAACAACCAACTATTGAATTAGGACTAAGGTTTTTCCCCTTTTTTACTTCCTCATTCAGAAATCAGTCCCTGTAGGTTATCCAGGGCAGTCTTTGAAGTGCAGGCCTGATAATGAGAGGTAAAACTCAGGTCTGTTCAAAAGGTAATGACATTTTAGCTTAAGTGAATTGATGGATTCCAGCCCATTATGTTTTACTCAAACAGGTCTGGGGAAAAGTGGATTCTTCCTTTTGTCTAGATTCTAGACGGGGTGACATGGGTATAGATAAATCTCTCTGACCAAGATTGAGTAATCAGAGTGTGTGGGATGCCACTCAAATTAAAAATAAAACAAAACACAGAGGGGTCCAAGGAGAAACAGAAAGTTAATTTATTATAGCTATAATTATTATTATCATTTCAAATTTCAAGATTTGGGTGTCCTCACACCGATGGCTCTGATTAGAGGAGACAACCCAAAGAAGTAGAAGTCAGTTTATATAACTCTGAAGGTTCAATTCCCCCTTCTTCCCCTAACTGTCCGTTAATTTGGCTCACACGTGAGACTCTAACATAAGACAAAGGACATAGCATACATCTCTAGATTTCTTAGTTGGTTGAGGTAATGTCAAAGAAGCAATGAAAAATGTGCAGTTAGGCTAGACTTTGTACTGTGGAACCAGTTTACCATAAAAGATAATTTACAATTGTTTTGGAAGGTCTTAGAGATTGAACAGACAATGAAGAGAACTGGAACACATCTGAGTAAGGTCCAGTCAAAGGGAGATAAGGGGAGTAGATAAGGAACCCTTTAAGGGTTTTCTGGAGCCAGATTCTTTTTAGGGGCAAAGACGCATTTGAATAAGATTAAAAAGTAGGTTAAGGCTTAACCACTAGACAAATTTTAACTACTGGTATATTGCGCTAAAAAAGTAACTTACAGAAATCTATTCTTAACCCTATCCTACCTTCTGAACTCATTACCTTAATTACACTGAGAAGTCTTCACTGGGACATCCCATTCAAGAGTCATGTCCCCCAGGCCCACATTAGAATAAGCCTACCTCTCATTATAATATTCATTCTCTTATTACTTGTTACCCAATCAGAGTTGACTGCCACCCCCAGGAATACCCACTCTTCCAAGGACATATAAGCATTGAGTTGATTCCCTGAGGGGTCTTTGGCATGTGAGAGTGCCATTGACCCCTTTTATTAATTACTGCTTAATTAATAAAATGATTAATAAAATGATTAATTACCTAGAAACTATGTCTCCTGAACTTTTTATATGTCACAGGGTATTTTTGAAATATCCAATAATTCATTGAAAAATTATTGCTGCCAATCATACTTATCAACACACACAGACCTAGAAGGCAAAACCAAAGTTTATTATATGTTTCAGTTTGGACTGGAGTTCAGAAAATAACTCTGAACCCCAAACAGAGATTTCTGAAAAATCTACACAGCCTCCAATTACATCAGAGACATGAAGAAGATTCTGACAGGAAAAAGTAAAGATTTACAGTACAACAATACACTTGTGGGATTTACATTCCAAAGATAACTGAAGAAGAAAATCACTATATCTAGGTTACCCCAAAAATCACTAACAAGGGAGTACTCTGAGATTTACAACACAGGATGGGCATCATAAATTCTTTTACCCTCTCTGAGTTTCTTATGAATGATCTAAATAGGAGTCTTAGGAAAAATCTCAGTTGGCTACTGACTTCACAACTGTGACTATCCTCACAATTAAAGTGGCCATGCTGGACCCAAAATAGTAACAGAGGAAAAGGAATTCAAAAGCTCTTATGACAGGGGTCACCTTGTCTGACCCCTTCACTTTACAGATGGGGAAATTAAGGCCTAGAGAACTTATATAGCTGGCCCAAGGTCACACAACTAACGAATAGTATAGGCAGGATTAGAACCTTGGTCCTTCGCCATCAGGTCCAGGACTCCTACTACTAATGACTTCTTTAGCCCACAGCTCCTGAGAACATCTCCAAGGCCCTTACAGATCCAGGTCATATGGTTCAAGGCATGCTAAAATGTCCTCTTGTCCCCAAAATATCTCCCTCCCAAGTAGACCTCATGCTCTACCATGAGTCATTTCTTTGGAATAAGGCTTTGAGGATTCTATTAAAACCCATGCGTCCCACAGGTAGTTCAACACAACGTAAATTGTCTCAGGCTGGAATTAAAAAAACTGGGTTCTAGTCCCCTCTTATGTGACTTCCCTTTTTTTGGGCCTCAGTTTCCACATCTCTAACAGAAGAGGGCCCTTCCAGCATTGATGATTTGTGATTGTAACCTAAAGGAAAAGAAACAGTAGAATTCTGGATTTGGAGTCCCCAAGGATGCCAGTTAAGCCCTGACTATTGTTTACTAGCTATTTGACCTTGAGCAAATTACCTGACCTCTCTGTTCGAGGGAGGAGAGCTGGAGAATGGGGTGAAATAATTTTCATAAAACCTGCTTCATTTGGACATTATAAGGGAAGCACTCTGTAAATCTCAAAGCCCTATTATGGAAATATGATTAATAGTAATATATAATAAAAATAAAAGCAAAGACCTAGGCTTCTAACTGGGAAAAACCATCAGTTGGGGCCAGGCTGGGTCAGGGAAGCTCCAGTTTGGAGATGCTGGGATGAAGGGGAGTGGGTAGATGGCGGGGGTAAGTGGTGGGGAGAACACCTAAGGAGGAAAGCAGGAGAAGGTAAGCCCGAGGTTTAGTGGGATGGAGAAGGTGACTCTAAAGTCACTGGTTACCTCCTTATTCTCAGAAAACGGCCCTGGTGAAGAAGAATCCTCGGCCCCCACCTCCAGCCAACTGTGTGGCCACCTGGTCCAACTGCCAGCCTCTGGCGCGGCCTTGCTGCCACCCGTGCGCTATGTGCCACTGCCGCTTCTTTCGCAGCGTCTGCTCCTGCCGCCTGTTCCGGCCCAGATGTTGAACTCCAAGTGCCCTGGAGGGGAGACGCTAGGGAACCTCCTCTCAGGGGCCTCCAAGGCTTCACCCAGGGTTGCTCCACCCTGACCTGCTCAAGCAGGACCCCACAGCGCCAGAAGCCCAGTTATGCCTCCCCTATGCTCACTTCTAAGTAGCCTCCCCCTGGATGTAGCTGCTGTCTCAGCCTCATCTCAGGGCCCTGAATTCAAACAGAGAAGCTCCCAAGATGGCAGGGAAAACGGGGGTAATCCTGCCCCAAATTGTGACAGTAACAGTGTCTGGTTTCAGGCCTGAAGTTTTGTGCCCTTTGTCCCTTTCACCCCCATTGTCCCTCCTCGCAAACTCTTGTATTTGGATTGGGTATCTTATCCCTCATCCTAAGGTGTATGTGGCTGATAGCTTCAAGAGCTGCCGGCTGTCAGGGATTCCTGTTTTACTATGATCATTTCATTCCCAAACTGAGAAACCCTGAACAGCTCCCTCCTGCCTACAGGATAAGGTCCAAACTCCTCAGTTTGTCTTACAAGGCTGTATCCCACCTATCCCCCAATTTCCAGATGTCTAAAGCTCCCCAATACTTTTCCCATCCTCTAGTCAAACTAAATCAACCAATCTTCTACGTTTTCCACCTTTCCTCTTGCTCCTCCTCTAGAAAGCCTCTTCATCCTACCAGTCCCATCTAAGGTGTCACCCCCTCCAGGAAGCCTTTCTTGATTTCCCTCAACCACACCTCCCTGCCCCCCAAGCTGGAAGTGGTCTCTTGTTCCCAGAAACGTATTTCTTCTATAGCCTGGATCACTTCTTGTCCTGTATTATTCTATTTGTGTATATAGTTTATCTCCCTACTAGACTGTGAGCTCCTTGTGGGCAGAGACTACATCTTATTCATATTCATTTCCTATAATGCCCAACACATAGCACTCCTTCAATAAATGTTATATTGAATTGACAGTGTAATGACTTTCTACTTGTAGAGTTTAAGGACATCCACTGGAATCCAAAGTCACTCCCCATTCATTATGGCAGCCTGACTTTCCCTGCCTTTAAAATAAAAGCATGGTGGGGAGGGTTAAAGGAGATAATTTCTAAGGTTCCTCCCAGCTCTGATAATCTGTGAAATCTGCAAAAAAGTCTGGTCAGGGAAGGAGACAAAACTAATGTTTGTTGGCCCAAGAGCCAGATAAAACTCCCACAACATTGCCTTAGGAAACATTTTTCAGCTATTCAAAATGACCACAAGCAGTATAGACTAACTCACAAGGTAGTGAGCTCACCACTGAAGGCCTGGATGATCATGTTAAGAATGTCTGCAGGGGAGGGAAGCCCTGAGAAGAGCATTGGATCTGAACACAGGAGATCTGGATTCAAATTCTGACTGCCCCTTATGACCCAGAATAGCAGCATTTATTAGCATGCCAGCTATCGATTTACAAAACCCAAGGTCAAACCCCAGCTCTGCCACCTACAACCTATGACTGTTGGCCACCTTCCCTCTCTTGTCCCCACTTTCCTCCTCTGTAGGGAACTGGATTAGAGATCTTTAAATCCCCTTTCAGTTCAAAATCTTTTAAGGATGAACTGAACACATGAGTTCCCTTTCATTTCTGGAAATACCTGGAGTGTGATGTGCAATTGTGTGGTCACCACATTTTTAAAAAGACCATTAATAAACTACACAGCACCCAAAAGTGGGCAGGCAAGATGGAGGGGCTCTTCAAGTCCACGTCATCTGAGGATCTATGGAAGACACTGATGTATGGCCTGAAGAAAGGGCTCAGACTCGTCTTCAAGTATTAAAAAGGCTGTCACATGTAAGACGGATTGATTAGATTTCTTTGGTCCCACAGGGACCCCAAAAAGCAGAACTAGGAGCAACATGTAGGAGCTACAGGGAAGCAAATTTAGGCTGTTCTAAGAAGAAAAGTTCCTAATAATTAGTTATTAAAAAGCAGAGTGACCCTGGGCAAGTCACTTAACCCAGTTTGCCTCAGTTTCCTCAACAGTAAAATGAGCTGGAGAAGGAAATGGCAAACCACTCTAGTATCTCTGCCAAGAAAACCCCTAATGGGGCCACAAAGAGTCTGACAGGACTGAGACTGAAACAACCGAACAACAGATTTGACGTTTAACACCTACACAGCCTTGGGCAAGACTTTCACGCTCTCAGCCTCAGTTTGCTCATCTGCAAAATGGGAGGTGGGAGATCTTCAAGTAATATGGAGGCCTATATGTTGGGTCTGTTATAGAGGAGGCTCTTTCAGGTATCGGTTGGACCTTACAAGTGTATTTCAGTAGTTTTTAGTTTTCTTTGCAATGCTCTATATTTTAGTTTATATGTTTAAATGTGAAGCCTAGGCTGCTCTGAAAAGGGGTTATAAGCCACAGCAGACAGCCAAAGGGGCCTGGGATACAAAGAACAAACTCCTATAGTTAAGAGCTCCTGGACCAGATGGTTGATGAGAGGTTCCTTCCAATTCTAAAACCAGAGGAAAAAACAAAAAACAGACCCAGGTTGGAAGAAGCCTGGACTGGGTGGGAATCAGGAGCCCTGGGTTGGAGTGCCCACTCTGCCAATAATTTACAAACAAACCTGGTCGTCCCTCCCTCCCCCACTCCCACCCCAGGTCATTTTCTTCGTTTGTAAAATGTTAAAAAATGTCTGCTTTACATTTTTCAGATGCAAGAAACACTATGTTCTCTACACAATCCAAAGGCCAGGCAAGGGCCAGAACTTCCTGTGGTGTTCTCATTAGGCCGTCAGCCCCCAGGGTGGCGACTATGTGTTCTGGGACCATTGCGCAGGAAATGTCATTAGGAGTGAGACTATAGCTAGCGCTGTGGCCACTGACCCTGCTCCCTATGGGGAGGGAGAAGACCTCATTGGGCACTATTTGTCCGAGACACTGGAAGCCACAAACCCAAACCCACGTCCCTGTGGCTTAGATGTTATCCACTAGTGAAGAAAGTAGTTTCCCATGGATGGGAAACCCAAGTAAGAGGTGCCTCCTTCAAGTGCTTCTTTCTATTCAGTCCTTCGGCAAAGCAGCTATTTTTCTTAATCTTTGTTTCAGGCAAAGTTGAGTCAAGTAATCTGCCTCAGTTCCCTTAATCTGTAAAGTGGGGATAACCCCAAAAGGATTTGATGTGAAACTCAAAAGAACTGAGGGAAAAAATAACAACTCCCCCTTCTGTGTATTTCCATGGCCAAGATCCATGCCTGGCACAGAGCAGGCACTTAATAAATTCCTGCAGTGAACTAAACTGGCCTCAGGGTTAGGAGCCTTGAGCCCAAGCCCCACGCAACAGCCTGACGGTGCAGAGCATTGGTGAATATGGAGTCAGGAGGCCGGCACCCTGGCAGGTACCAGCCATTTGGCTGAGGCGCAGGTTAAATGTCTTCGCCACGGTAGTCTCACACAAGACGGAGACAAACAGCTGCCACACAGGGTTGTTGTGGGAAAGGCTCTTCCCATATCGCCATAGTATGATCATTTCATGGAAAGATGGGAAGCACAACAGGAAGTGATTGATCCATCTAACTTATCACTGCAAGGCCATGGAAGGGCCAGGAGACTAACCCAGGTTACTGATTCCCACAGAAAGGCGGGGATTTTTCCCTTGCCTTGACTTCAGTACTGTAGGTTAGGGCTGAGACTTCCAGGTTCTAGCCAGAGCAGGGAAAGGCACAGGGGTGGGCAGGGGGAAGTGTGGCAGAGTGGAAGGAGCACTGAATTTGGGTGCTGGACAACCTCAGTGTGAATCCTGCCTCTTGTTGCATGTAGGCCGATGGTTCTCAAAGGGTGGGTTTGTGAGGTTTGTGTTGTCCTGTAAGGAACTTAGATTTGCAAATCCCATGGGCATCTGAGACTCTCCCATTCCTCAAGGCAAAGAATAAGACTTTGCTATGAGCAAAAAGTTTGAGAATCACTGCTTTAGGCTCATCATGTTATCTCTAAGGACCTTCAGTTTCTTCCGTTAAAAAAAAGGGGGGGGGATGGAGAGAAAAAGATTGGATTAAATGACACCCCCCCATTCTGTTGCGAGGGCAATTTACTAGATGACCTCTAAAGTCCTTTTTAAATTTTTTTAATCCAGTGATACTGCCCCATTGGAGAAATGACAATTGCTTTTCTAAATCCTCTCCTTGGGACGAGAAGCCCTAGATGAACCTTCCTGTACACCTAGAAACCCAAAATCTAGGCTTAGCCTAGATTCTGAAGATCAGCGAGAAGGGCTGAGCCACCCAGCAGGTTGGCACTGAATGGTGCCAGGTTGGCTCCCTCCACCTAAAGGCTGGGCTTGCTCAGTTTACACTTCCAAACTCAAGGCAATATAAAATTCCCAAGAACCCTGAGGCCTTCTAGGCTCTGTGCCTACCTGTAGGACCACACATTGTTTCCCTTGGAATTTCCATAGTACACTGATACTGCCCACAGGACTCCCATCATTCATGTTGGCAAAGGGTAGACACACTTCCCAGCCAAGACCTTCTTAGTGCAAAGGGACCCCATGGGATAGGGAGGGCAAAATTCTTCCCCCACCTTACCTGGTTTGGCAGCTTACTTCTACCCACACTTATCAATAGGCACATAGCACAGCCCTCCTCTCAAGTGGCCCTCACAACAGAGGTGGGCGGTAGGAAGGTATGTGAATAGTTGAGTTTAGGAGTACCTCAGGATCTGAGATTTAGAGCTGAAATGAACTTTTAGAGTGTCTAATAATTCTGTAGAACAGAAAAGCAAGGCATAGGGTAGGTAGTGAGAAGCTGGCAAACTGAAGCACAAGCAGAAAATGGCACCCAGCCGGATCAGGAGCCTACAGTCCACGGGCACGAGTTGAACAGAGGAGGGCCTGGCTGCAGTGAAGGTAAGCAGGCCGTGATGATGCCTGGTTCCAAGCATGTGAAGAGCTATCACGGGGAAGGGGATCTGACTTGGCCCACAGGACAGCACAAGAAACCACCAGTGGGGGGGAAATACAAGAAACAATTCAACTTGCAACAAAAGAAAAACTTGCTGATGATGGGAGCTGGCCAGAAGTGGAATGAATGGGCTGTTTGCAAGATGGAGTGTTTTCCAACTGCTAGAAAAAAATCGTCAAGCTGGAGCTGGGTAATCGCCTGCAGAACATTCCTGGTAATGGATGGGTTGGACAGATGATTGATAAGGACCTTTCCAACACTGAGATTCTGTGATGCCCAGAGTGGGGAAGCATCACAGGCTCAAGAGCTGATCTAGAGTTCCCAGATCAGCTAATCTAACCTCCTTCACAAACAAGGAAAACTAAGATCCAGAGACAGGAAGGGCCATCCAACTAATAAGAGTAGCAGGGCTGGGATTGGGATCTCTATTCCTAGGAAACATATAACTGTCTAGGATCACAGGATTTAGAGCTGGCAGGACCCCCTGGCTCCCATTCTGCAGATGAGTAAACTGAGGCTGAGAGCGTGAAAGTCTTGCCCAAGGCTTCTGTTGTTCAGTTGTTTCAGTCTCAGTCCTGTCAGACTCTTTGTGGCCCCATTTGGGGTTTTCTTGGCAGAGATACTAGAGTGGTTTGCCATTTCCTTCTCCAGCTCATTTTACTGTTGAGGAAACTGAGGCAAACTGGGTTAAGTGACTTGCCCAGGGTCACACAGCTAAGTGTCTGAGGCCAGATTTGAACTCAGGTCTTCCTGACTCCAGGCCCAACACTGGCCACCTAGTTGCCCTTCGGCATCAAAGCTGGGATTCAAATCCTGGTCTCCAGATTCCACATTTAGTGCTCTCTCCTTTACACTAAGCTGCCTCCCACCACTCCCACCCGAGCCCTCCAGCACTGGAGCTGAGTGCTGTCCTCATGAGGAAAGGGAACCCCCTGCCCCAACTACGGAACCCAAGACTCGGATTAGATGGTGCAGACTCCCCTCCAAAGGCCAGAGCAGCCTTTGAGGTAGCTTAGGTGACAGTCTGCAGAATGGGAGAGGCCTCTAGCAGGGCCCTGAGACCGACCCTCACTTTATAGATGAAGCAAGGGTGTAACAGACCTTCCAGTCCACCTCATTTACGGAACCCATGGGAAGACTAAAGAGGAGAGGCGCGAGCCCTCCAAAGCACAAGTCAGTGGCAGTGGCGTCCAGCTGGCTTTGTGTCTGAACCAACTCCAATGAACTCTCAAAAGAGACCATCCACTTGCCTCGGGTTCCCTCCCTTTCCTTTCACTCACACTGCCACACTTTCCCTATGTCACTTGTGACCTGCTTGAGTGTGGTTTCAGGGGTGGGAGCAGAAAGGAATCCAATCTGAACTGGGCATCCTGATCACAGGAGGGCTCTTAAGCACAGAACATTAAATCAGGAAGGGACCTCGCCTCAGTTCACCGCACCCCCGCTGTAAAACGGAGGAATCTTTAGACTATCTGAAACAGAAGTGTCAACTGCTGTCAGAATGAAGTGAACGTCTCAGACACCTGGAAGCTCAGCTCTGTTGGCTTTAACCACGGCTAGAGGGAAATCTGCCTCACTTAGATCCCTCCCAACCCTGCTTCTTCAAACAGAGGACAATGAGCCTACCTTTCCAGTTGTAAAAGGCTGTCCTGATCACCTCCAGCTGTGCCCAGCACTAACCTCTCACCCTCTTTTCTCAACTGCCCCAGCCCAAACTGCCACAGCATCAAGCTGGCAGAACCCAGGACAAAAGCAGAGATGATTCCACTGCCTTCCCTCTGTTAATTATTTCCTATTCATCCTGTATACAGCTTGTTTTGTATGGATTTGCTTGAATGTTGTCTCCCTCATTAGACTGAGTTCCTTGAGCCTCTTTTTGTGTCCCCAGCGAATAACACAGTGTCTGGCACATAGTAGGCATTTAATAAATGTTTGCTGATTGAATGATAATAAGCTGACTTCAGGTGCTGGGAAAACCTAGCACACTGATGCTGTGGGGGTTGTGGAAAACACTCTGACCTAGAA